GGCACTTCGTGAAGTAACACAAAATCAGAAGTAGTAGTTATGAGACACTTGTGGAGATGATCTAGTACATTCTTCATGTGCTCAAAGCAGCACTGTCACCAACATTATATCAGATCAGCCATGACTTTGCCTATTTGAGTGGTAGAAGAATAGCAATCCCAGAACCTCTCTGGACCTTTATCCAATGATGGTCTACACTTTTAATGCAAGTGTTTTTCTTAATGTCTAGTCTGACTCTTCCAAGCCACAGTCTGTGGCTATGGCCCCATATTTTATTTTCTGCCACTGTCTAAAAGTTTGACTCTGTGTACTTTAGGAGTCCCTTTAATTTAAATTAAAGTTATTGTAAAATGTCCCTTCAGGCTCCTCTTTTAGCAGGCTAAAGCAGCCCAGCTCTCACAAGCATCATGTGCTCCAATCCCTCAATGATCTCAGCAGTCTTTTCCTGGACTCCTTCCCATTTCTTTATCCATTTTAGAACCATGTAGATGGGAAAAGACCCTTAAGATTACCGAGTCCAACCGTTAACCTAAGACTGCCAAGTCCACCACTAAGCCGTGTCCTTAAGTGCCACGTCTACACATCTTTTAAATACCTTCAAAGATGGTGACTGAACCCTTTCCCTGGGCAGCCTGTTCCAATGCTTGACAACCCCTTTGGTGATTAAATTTCTCGTAGCGTTGAATCTAAACTTCCCCTGGCATAACATGAGGCAGTTTCCTCTTGTCCTGTCACTTGTTAATTGGGAGAAGAGACCGACACCCACCTTGCTACAACCTCCTTTCAGGTAGTTGTAGAGAGGGTTAAGGTCTCTACTCAGGCTCCTTTTCTTCAGACTTAACAACCCCAGTTCCCTCATAAGACTTGGTCTCTAGACCCTTCACCAGCTTCATTGCTCTTTGGACACACTCCAGCACCTCAATGTCCTTCTTGTAGTGAGGGGCCCAAAACTGAACACAGTATTCAAGGTGTGGCCTCACCAGTGCCAAGTACAGGGACACGATCACTTCCCTACTCCTGCTGGCCACGCTATTTTTGATACAAGCCAGGATGCTATTGGCCTGCTTGGCCACCTGGGCACACTGCCAGCTCATATTCAGCCGGCTGTCAGCCAGCACCCCCAGGTCCTTTTCCACCGAGTAGCTTTCCAGTCACTCTTCCCCAAGCCTGTAGTGTTACATGGGGTTGTTGTGACTGAAGTGCAGGACTTAGCACTGAGCCTTGTTGAAACGCATACAGTTGGCCTTGGCCCATCAATCCAGCCTGTCCAGATCCCTCTGCAAGAGCCTTTCTACCCTTAAGCAGATCAACACTCCCACTGAACTTGATGTCATCTGCAGACTTGCTGAGGGTGCATTTGATCCCCTCATCCAGATCATTGATAAAGATATTTAACAGAACTGGCCCCACTGCTGAGCCTTGGGGAACATCACTTGTGACCAGCCACCACTGGATTTAACTCCATTCACCACAACTCTTTGGGCCCAGCCATCCAGCCATTTTTTTTAACCAGCAAACAGTGCACCCATCCAAGCCATGAGCAGCCAGGAGAATGCTGTGGGAAACAGTGTCAAAGGCTTTACTAAAGTCTAGGTAGACGACATCCACAGCCTCCCCCTCATCCACTAAGAGGGTCACCTTGTCGTAGAAAGAGATTAGGTTAGTCAAGCAGTAGCTGCCTTTCATAAACCCATGCTGACTGGGCCTGATCACCTGGTTGTCCTGTACATGCCATGTGACGGCACTCAAGATGATCCACTCCATAACCTTCCCCAGCACCGAGGTCAGGCTTACAGGCCTGCAGTTCCCTGGATCCTCCTTCTGGCCGTTACTGTAGATGGGCATCACATTTGCTAACTTCCAGCCAGCTGGGACCTCCCCAGCTGAAAATGGGTGACCTAAAACCAGTCGCAGTATTCCAGGTACAGTCTTACTGGTACCAAGCAGAGCAGGTAATAACTTCCCTCAATCAGCTGGCCTTGCTTCTGCTAATGTAGCCAAGCAGACAGTTTGCCTTGTTCACAATAAGGATGTACTCTTGGCTTGTATTCAGCTGGGCAGCTGCGGTAACTCCCTGGTCCTTCACAGCAGAGCTGCGGTCTCGGCAGTCTCTTCTCGTCCTATACTGATGCATGGTTTTTGCCTCAGATGCAGAAGTTTACACTTCTCCTCATTGAACTTGAGATTTCTGTTGGCCCAATCCTCAAGTTTCTCAGGGTCTCTCCAGATTGAAGTTTTGGTCTATGTCATGTCAACCACTCCCCAAAATTCAATGCTGGCTGCTAATTTGCTGATGCTCTGCTCTATGTCATAACTTGTATTGCTGTCAATGTTGAGCAGTATGGGCCACAGGTAGGTCCCAGGAATATTCTGCTCATTGCTGGCTGTCAAGCTATTGATCGTTGCCTTTGAGTCCAGTGGTCCAGCCAATTTTTTACTATGTAGTTGTTCATTTGTCTAGTTTATAGCTCCTTAGTTTCCTAATGTGAATACTGGGGGTGATGACGTTAAAAGCTCTGTATATTGGAGCTGCCTGGCATGGAGTTAATTTTCTTCATAGCAGCCCCTAGGGTGCTGTGTTCTAGATTTGTGACTGGAGCAGTGTTGATAACACACCAGTGTACAGCATTAAGGCCTTGTCCGTTTCTCACTCTGCTCTCTCTGCAGTGAGTAGGCTGGGGGTGGACAAGAGCTTGCGAGAGGTCACAACGGGGACAGCTGACCTGAATGAACCAGAGGGATATTCTAGGCCATATATAGATCGCATTCAGGAGGATCAGTGACAGTAGTGTCTCAATCAGCAACTTTTCTGCCACTGAATTTTAGTGCCATTCCTCTAAAGTGACCAGAGGGAGGAAGGAGAAGGGAAAGGGAAAGGGGAGGAAAGAAAGAGAGAAGAGGAGGAGAGAGGGGACAGATTAGGGCGGGGGACAATGGGGGGAGGATGGGGGAGAGGGGAGAGAGGGGGGAAGGGACAAAGGGACCAGAGAGCAAGATTATGTGAAGAAAGTTGTTTCCAAGTTCCATTTTTTGTTGTGAGGAGTTCTTTCTAGCCTCCTGCTTTCTAGACTCCTGAAGGAAGTCCCTCCTTTGGAAGGCATGCTTGTGATCTTCAGTGCTGCCTATGATCTTGAAAGTTTCTGTATTTCAGTGCAGAATCACAAGCAGTCCAATTCCTACATTGAAATGGAAGACTGAGAATTTAGCGATGTTCAGCAATGTTCAAGGAGAAAGCAAGAATATAAAATCATAATGTATTGATGATATTTCAGAAAGGTTTAGGTCAATCTCAGAACTTTAGAAATCTTATTCTGGACGTGTGTTATTCTGTACCTCATGTTGATGTTTTGGTACTCCTGTTCTGGAAAACTTAGCCACAGCTACTGTTGGAGATTATCACTGGTCTTTGGACCTTAGTAACGTGCAGTGTGGCAGTTCCTATGTTCTCAATAGAAGTCTTACCCTCAGTTACACAGAGAAGAATTTTGCTTTCACAAAAATGTGAATTCCTTACTTAGCAGTTGTATTCTTTCCTCAGCTATCTCAAGTCTTTGAGGAGAAAAATGCCCTCGCCCTCCAGCTGCGCAGTAGCAGTCGTAACATCTGTGAAAGCCATCAGCAGTACAATGAGGTTCTGAACCGCGGCTTGGTGCTGCAGAGGCAGCTCCAGGAGCTGCAGTCTGCAGACAAGGGCATGGTAAGGGTGGTCTTCTTGGTGCAAGGGAGGGAAAAGCTTATTGCTGATGAGTCCACTAACTGTGCAGTATTGTAGCTACTTTCTATCGTCTTCATTCAGTGCTATCTGCCATACATTCATGCTTTCCTTCAGGAGTTGTTTGCAACAGATGCTGCTCCAGGAGCACCCCAAGAAAAGAATGAGCCTCAGAGAGGCAGTTACACACCAGAACTGCAGGAGTTGCAGCTGAGGTAAAGAAAGCCAGAGAAAACAGGGGTGGGGATGTTAGTCCTGATGGAGGTCTTTGGACTAGTGATGAGCCTATTTCTGTTACTCTCTGTCAGAGTGTTGGAAAAACTCAGTTACACACTAGGACCTTGTGGAAGTGGAAGAACTGTTATATGCACTTCACAACTGTTGTTAGTTATCTCTTTGGATAGAACTTTAAAAAAATGAAGAGACAACATGCAGCAACAATTACGGTTGACCGTCATCAGCCAAACTAGCATCTTGCATTTGATGGGTTGGGTCTTCAGTAACTGCGTAAGTATATCAATGGTCCTGGTCTCAAGGCTGTTAGCCTGAGAGTGCCTGAAATTGAGACCTAGCACAGGATTCCGTGTAAGATTCTGGAATTAAGATGTAGCACACGATTCCTCATACCCGTTCACAATAATTTTGAGAAGGTGGGGCCATGGGTGATAGAGCCAAGGAACTCCCACCTGATGTGACACAGACTCTTCAAGAGATTTATCTTCTCTTTTTCTTTCCAAATAATTTAAATATATTAGTAAAAGATAGTAAGTCTTCTGTGTGAAGTGGAAGGGAATTGGAGTCTGTTCACATGCTGCATCAATGAATACAATAGACACAGAATAGTCCATTAATTAGCCCTTTTTGGCATATGCTTGATTATCGTTTGACAGGTTGTCCGAAACAGAACATTTACATAGCAGCACAAAGCAAGATCTGAGGTATTTAGAGGAGCAGCTGGAGGAAGAACGGGATCGTCGTGTTGCTGTAGAGGAGGCGCTCTCTGCAGCACAGGATCAGATCAGGAGGTGAGGGAGCTTGAGCAAACAGCCAGTGTCACTATAAAAGTATGGTGATCCTAGCTCTGAGTTCATCTGCACTCCATTGCGTCCTTCTGCCAAATGTCACTGGGGGCATAGAAACGACTATACTAGGTCTATCACAGAATGGTTGAGGTTGGAAGGGACCTGTGGAGGTCACCTGGTCTGATGCCCCTGCTCAAGCAGGGCTACCTAGAGACAGCTGCCCAGGATCATGTCCAGATGGCTTTTGAGTATCTCCAAGGATGAAGACTTCACAACTTCCCTGGGCAACCTGTACCAGTGCTCAGTCACCCTTACAGTAAAAGAGTGTTCCCTGATGTTCAGGCTATCCTTCAATTGTAGACAAAGATAGAAGAGACAACTGACTAGACATTAAGACAAATTCTGACTAGAAATAAGATAGTCTTTTAGACTGAAATGAGATGCCAGCATTCTAAATGAGTTAACTACTGGAAAATATAATTTGGAGACTGGGAATTGAGTGAAGGTGGGAAAGGAGTTTTCATACTTCAGGGGATTTGTCTCCTCGGTAAACATCTGTCTGTTTTGACTTGACTTGTCTTGACTTGAAGAATGTCACTCAATTTTTAATGTATTGCCAATTAGCATAAACTTTTAATTAATTTGGGTATTAAGAAGCAAATAAGCACTTAGCAAAAATACTTTCCCTCACTTTTCCCATGCTCAGCTTCAATATAGACACCTCTCCTCCTCCCTTCCTAGTATTCAGTTGCATTGTTTCCACCACACATTACACTCAGTCCCTTTTGTAAAGGAAAGGGCAGCGTAGGAGGCTGGGGTCAGTATGTAGTGATTTCTCTCTGCTGTTCCTTGTTTCTTACTCATTTCATCCTTCCCCTAGCGGCTCCAACCCTTTGAGCAGAAGCACAATGTGCTTCTCTGGTTGTAGTCTTGGTACACAGTGAGGCATCATCCATTTCCAAGCCAGCTGGAACCAGCTGTGACTGGTACAGCGCAATTCATGGCCTCCTGCCACACAGCTCTCCTCCCTGTTACCAAAACCTTGCCATTTATACCCAGTACACTGTTTATCTCAGGTTACCTGACAGATGTCCTTACAGTCAACAGAGAAAAGGAGGCTGACCTAGACTAGATTTTAAGATTAGGATGCAGTGAGTCACATGTTAGAAATGCTGGGTTCTCCTCATTGACTATAAAAGTGGGTTTTTTCATGTATCTTGATTGTAGGCGCTTGTGCTGTGCATTTCCTGGTAGTTAAGATAAACCTCACTATTGGAGTCTTTTACATGAAAGCAATGGCTTTCTTCTGACACACATTGCTGATTCAGCCAAAAAATAACGGTCAGTATTGAAGAATTCTGGATGAAGTTCCCTGGTAATTGCTACACAACTCAGACAACTGTAGCCCTTTCTAGCATTAAAGTCGATGAAAGCCTCCTACAACTGATTTCACTAACTAATGCTAGCCCAGAGATTTGACAGTGCTGCTTCCGCATTTCATCCTTCAATAGTGTCTTATCAATCTTGAATATCTGTCACTAGAAAATAGTTAGCAAGAAGCAGCACTGTTGGGACCAGAGCTGGCTTCCAAAACAACTTCATAAAATTTAAAATATACAGTTAAATCGTCTGCCATGGTTTAACTCTCAAAGCACACGCTATGAAGTTTCACTTAAAAGTCCCCATGTAGAACACAGAGACCTCAGTTAAGTTAGAGCTTGAAATTCCTGAAAGACAAAAGGAAAAAAAACAGCACCAAAAAAATAATGAGTTTTAACGTGACAAGATATAAATTAGGTAAGAAAGGACTCCACTGCCAGCAGCTGAATTGGCCTCTCTACTGGAGAGGAATGGTAATCTGTATATTATGCAGTATGGAAGTTGTACTTTTCTCTCTGTCCATGGCTATAACTATTGGCACAGGAAGTGACTGGCACGGAGTGAGTATAACTTGTATGTAAAGAGCACAATATGCCTACTCTGTTATGGTTTCACTAGCCCCCCAGTGGAGGAAGAAGGACTACTGCTAGTTGGATCACCCAGTCCTTCTGTTTAGCACTGCAGTTGTACAAATGAAACCAGTTCTTGTCAAGTGAGGCTATGGCTTACTTCCAATGGTTGATTACTTTCTGAAGAAATGCCTCCTTTCCTAAGCTTGTCTACGGTGTTGGCTCGGGGCATCATAAGAAACTGAATTTAATTTCATGTTTTTTGCGGCAGGTTGCAGTCAAGTGAGTGGATGTCTTCCTTAAGTGCTAACATTGATACGACTCCTGGTCACGAGCACTCCTTGCTGATTGACTCCATGGATAACAATTTCAGTAAAGTAAGAATTTACATTCACAGCTGTCAATGATGGGAGCCCTGGTTGATGTAAGAAAATATGAACTGAAAATTATGAACCTATAGCAGCTAAATCCTTCTGTAGGCACATTTAAATCTGTTTGGGCTTGTGTAGGTTTCTGCTCTTGTCTTGCTCTGTTTTCCATGCCAAAAGTCACGTACTGTTCTGATCACGGCTTTGCTACAGTCTGTATAAGCAGACTAAATTTCAGACATCATTAAAATGTAGCCCAGCATTGTTCCTTTTGGAATATTCAGGGCCTCAGTGGTGAGCAAATAGGCAAAGTCTGTGCAAACTATGTGCTGTCTTCATGCATAAGAATTCTATGTGCCACTGGCCCTAGCATCTGTGATGTCTGGATAGTCTGCTCTTTCATTTAGCAACTGTCTCAGTTTTTCCTCATTCCTCATCTTTCAAACCTGTATCAGTCAGGCTGGGAGCCGAAGTGGAGAGCTGCTTTTTCATGGTATTCAATGACAGCCTGGCAGTCACCTGTCCTGTTTTGCCAAGGATGAAGCCCTGCTGAAGAGTTTGGCCTCTGTTCTCTAAGACTTAGGGGTGGTATTCCCAAGAGCAGCATCAGCAGAATTATGGCAAGAGCCATAACTGGATGCTACTCTGTGCTCATGCTTGGGATTTGTTACTAGAATAGACAGTGTTTTCTTTCTAGTGGAACTTTGCCCATAGATGTTACATTGTCTGAGTGTTGTCCCACAAAAGGGTTCGTTCACCAGGTGTGCAATAAGCCAATCTCACTCACAGAGCTGAGATATTTATTTCATGTCTGCACAGAGATGGGTGCTAGGTGGTAATTCCGCAAAGCTAGCACACTTTGGCTAACATACAGTAGACATTTATACATTTTGAGCAAAAGTTATCAGTACTTTTAGTTACACTTAATCATCCTCTTTCCCCATTGATCTTACATGTCTCTTCTTGATTTAAATGTATGGTACATTTTAAATGTACTGAGAGTGCTCAGCGGGTAGGGGTCTTTGCTTGGAGATGGGTTTGGTAAGCATTGGAGGTGTGGTTTTCACATTATAATAAGCTAAGTTCATCTAAAGGACACAGGTCAATTTTTGTAGTATGTCTGAGCACCTGATCAGGAGAGGATTCCTTGTTCCCAGTTCAAGGTACTATTTGTTCCTTTAACTCTTTGTTTCTCTGGGCTCTGTTACCTTTTTGCATAATTGAAATGCGCAGTTGTGCCTATTATACTTTCTCAAAGCCTTGTTTTGTAACATACTGCTTTTTTTTCCGTTCTAACCTTTCATCATGAGGATTCCTGGAAGAGCCCCTGTAGAGTAAGGTCACTCTACAGCGGCCCAAATTCAACAGCTTCTGAAGCCCTTTCAGCTGCAAGGGTGAAGGAACACAACAAATAAATAATAATTTTCTTCTTCTAGGCCAGAGTGTGAATCAGGATTCCTAGTAGCTCGAGGCTCTAGCAGAAAAGTACCATTGATCCATTTGTTTATATTTCACTCGGAGGGGCTAGAAATTTGTAGAGACCAAATGTTAAAGGGAGATGTTCTGAATTCTGTTGCCCTTTCTCAAGCAGAACTGGAGAGAGCTGATTCATGAGAAAACTGCAAAAAGCAGTGGAAGGGGAATATTTCGCTGAGGATTGCCTCTAGGGGTCAAATCTGACAGTGGAATGAGTTTGGGAGGGTTCATGCTTATTAGCTTAAACAAACTTACCTTCATGGTCTGGAGAACTCTGTGCGAAGGCAGCTAGGGACATATCCATTCCTGGTACTGACTAGTCTCTCTTTTACTCTTCCAGACTCGGAATATCCTTGGACTACGACGCCTGTTGCGCTCTCTCTTCCATTCCCGGACCCATTTACCTTGGCTAGTGGCCATGTATCTGCTTGCTGTCCATGTCCTGCTCTTCCTGTGCTTTACAGGCCACCTATGAACAAGAATAACAGACTTTTCTTGAGCCACAGCCCTCTGTGTAATCCCTGGGCCTTCATTCCCTATTGACAGGGTAACACTTCACCCAACTGCCTTGTTTTTCCAAATCAGCCCTTAAGGAGCAGCTGCACCCAGCAACTTGCACCTAGGTTGCTTGGTGTCTAAGTATGCAGCAGCCAGTGCTGATGCTTGGGATCTGTTTCCAGGACATCTGTCATTCCCTCAGTGTTTTTAAATGAGTGGTACATTTTCTGAGCTAGGGTCGTCACACTACAAGCTTCAAGGACAGCATCTGTTCCTATACCTGGAGGTATCACCAGTCATTTTATATAGTATTGTGCTGTGGTAGGAATAAGAAAAATATTCTTGAGTTGCTGCCGTACTTCAACACTTCTAGGAACTGCAGGATCTTCCCTCTCTTAGACTGAATCAGTGAGTTGGGTTGGGGAAACCCTGTAGCTAGATATAAGAAAGAGAAGCTTCTTCGCTTTCTTCCATCTCTTAGATTTGCTCCATGGCTCAGTGCTGTTTGAAATGCATATCCTAAGGAAGTTGTGGACACTTTAAGGAACATGAATTGAATTTCAAAATCGTGTTTCCTGCTCAGTTGCATCTCCTGTTGAAGAAAGGCCAAAATTAGTACAGCTGGACCTCATGAGCATTCCATTTAAAACCAGTCATATGTCTGCCCTGACAAGCCTGTAAAATAATGTCAGTAATTTAATTATTGAAAAGGAATAGGAAACAAGAAACTTTTTAGCTCTAAGTTAATAACCTTGCTGTTTATAGCATTTGTGCACCTCTCGCAATGGAACGTGCTTGCATACCTCTTGAAATGAGAGCAGCCAATGCTCCTGCATTCTTGTCCATTGAGTCCTTGTCACAAGATTCGACGTGTACAGGCTGTATTGAAGGGTTCCATAATGTGGTATGTGGGCCCAAATCAAAGACAGAAGCTCCAGAAATAAACTGTCTCCCCTACGCTGAGGAAGGGAATAGAGTTCTGAAACCTTCTGGCATCTCTGCTTTAGGAAAAGCCTGTTGTAGAAAGCTAGTGCTGGTCATTGGACTTGTTTGAATCTAAAGCACACTGATGTAAATCGACTTGATCTTATAGGATATATGGAAAGCTGTGTTTTCTAAAGAACTCCTGAACGTGTTCTGGAATTGAGACTGCCTTCTTCCAAAGGGAGAGTGCTGAATGCAAAGAAGATAGTTCCAGTCGAGTTCCCTGTCAGAGACCAAGTGGTTGTGCTGTTCAGAGTACTTGCCAGAAGGATTGTATCTGGCTCTTTGGCTAGAGTATTAACAGTCACATTTTTCTCATGGGAAAGAGGCAGTTCTTTTGATATCACCGGTAAATGAAGATTCTCTAGCCAGTGAACAAAGCCTATTTGAGGATGGATTGATTTCATCATAGTAACTAAAATAAATGGATCTCTGGCAGATCCAGAACATGGGTACTATATATCCGTTTGTGCACGACCCTTGATTATGTGTGTGGAATTCCTCAAATATATAAAATTCAGTGACCAAATACTTTGCCTCTGGCTTCCTGGGGCATGTGCTCCTGTATATATAATAAAAGATTATTTTTTAGATGGAATTTGTGTAATGTTGTCATGTAAATGACAGAAATCTCTCGAGGGTATAGTGCTGCTGTATCATACCTTTTACAGGACTACCATGGGACTGTAGGTCACTTTTGTGTACACTTCCTTGTATGTTAATTGCAGCTCTGTTTCTTCATATTATTTGAACCCTTCTCAGCCTTCTTTTCTTCAGTTTAATTTAAACAAGTGCAGCTTCCTCAGCTTTTCCTTGTAGGAGAAATGCTCCAGTCCCCTCATCATCCTCGTAGCCCTCTGCTGGACTCTCCCATTTGCAGGCCAGACCCTCTTTTCAGGGAAGTTTGCTGCCTCCCTGGGGCCCAAATCAGGGCTGTTGCCAGATGATCTCAGTACAGCCTTGGGACTATGACCCACTACAGCTTTTTCATGTGGGTACTCATGATGTTGCAACAAGAAGTCCAAGGTTGATCAGAAGAGATTTCAGGGCTCTGGGAAGAATGCTAAAAGATTCAGGAGCACAGTGTTTTCCTCAATCCTCCCAGCAATGGGGAGAGACATTGGAAGAAACAGGTGCGCCCAAGACATCAATACCTGGCTCGAGGACTGATGCCTCCACCAGTACTTTGTTTTTTATAACCACAGGAGAGTCTTCAAAACACAAGGTATGCTGGGGCCTGATGGGATCCACCTGTCCCGATGGGGGAAATGCATCTTTGCTTGTAAACTGGCAGGACTCATCAAGAAGGCTTTAAACTAGAATCAATGGGGGAAGGGGATACCAACAGGAGAGACGAAGGTAAGCCAAGAGTTGGCATAGCATCACCTGAGCATGGCAATGCTAATGAGATTATTTACACTGCTCCAGGAAGCACTGAGGGCTTAGGAGCAGATCTGACACACTTGTACACTATCTCATGCAGTATGAGAAACAAACAGGATGAACTCAAAGCGTTGGTCTGTTCCCCGAGCGGTGATATCATTTGTATTAGTGAGACTTGGTGGAATGAGTCCCACAACTGGAGTGCTGGGATGGAGGGCTACAGGCTGTTCAAGAGGGGTAGCCAGGGCAGGCGAGGTAGAGGAGCTGCACTATATGTAACAGAGAGGTTTGACTGTACAGCCTTTACAGTTGAGGATGATATGGTTGAGAGCCTCTGGGTGAGGATTAGGGGGATGGAAAACAAAGCAGATGTCGTAGCGGGTGTCTATTATCAGTCATCCAGCCAGGATGATAGCACTGATGGGTTATTCTGTAGGCAATTAGGAGCAATCTTGGCATCAGCAGCCCTTGTCCTTCTGGGAGATAGCAACTTCCCAGACATCAGCTGGGAATTCCATACTGCTGTGACAAGCAAGTCTGGGAAATTCTTCAAGTCTATGGAAGATAACTTCTTGTCACAAGTACCCAGTGAGCCAACTAGGAGAGATGCCCTCCTAGACTTGTTTGTGAACAGAGAAGGCCTCATGGGAGATGTGATGGTAGGTGGCTGTCTTGGCCATAGTGATCATGAAATACTTGCGTTTAAAATTTTTGGTGTGATGAGAAAAAAAGGTCGGCAGAGTTGCCACTCTGGATTTCCAGGGGGCAAACTTTAAGCTATTCAGGGAGCTACTTAGCAGTGTCCTCCGGGAATCTGCTTTTGAAGGCTTAGGAGTTGGCAAATGCCGGTTAGTTTTTAAGAAGCATCTTTTAGAAGCACAGGAGCCAGCAATTTCACTGTGTGGAAAGTCAAGCAAGCGGGGCAGAATACTGGCTTGGTTGAACAGGGAACTCCTTGTGTAGCTCAAGAGGAAGAAGGAATTGTACGATTTCTGGAAGCGAGGTCAGTCTTCACAGGAAGATTACAGAGCTGTGGTTCACATATGCAGGGAGAAGACAAGAAAGACCTAATCTCAGGGTTTAAACTGGTCAGTATTGTGGCAAACAACACAAAAGGCTTTTTAAAGTACATTAACAGCAAGGGAAGGACTAAAGAAAACATTGGAATGATGCTTGTTGAAGATGGTCACCTGACTAATAGGGATGCAGAAAAAGTGGAGGTGCTGGTTTGCTGGTGATAATAAACTAGGAGGTGCTGTTGACCCTTTCAAGGGACAAGAGGCCTTGCAGAGGCATCTAGACAGATGGGAGCATTGGGCAGTCATCAATGGCATGAAATTTAACAAGACCAAATGCTGGATTCTGCATCTGGGTAATGCTGGGCACAAATATAAATTGGGAGAGGAGTGGCTGGAGAGCAGCCCTGCAGAAATGGATCTGGGGGAGCTGGGTGGCAGCAGGCTCAGTAGGAGCCAGCAGTATGCCCTGGCAGCCCAGAGGCAAGCACATCCTGGGGTGCAACACAGCATGGCCAGCCGGTCAAGAGAGGTGATGTTTGGAGATAGGCTGAGGAGGGACCTCATTGCTCTCTGCAGCTTCCTGAGGAGGGGACGTGGAGTGGGAGGTGCTGATCTCTTCTCTCTGGGATCTATGGACAGGACACCTGGGAATGGTTCAAAGCTGCATCAGGGGAGGTTCAGACTTGACACTAGGAAACATTTCTTTACCACGAGGGTAGTCACATACTGGAAGAGGCTTCCTGGAGAGGTGGTCAGTGCCCCATGCCTGTCAGTGTTTATGAAGCATTTGGACAATGCCCTTAATAACATACTTTAACTTGTGGTCAGGCAGTTGGACCAGATGATCATCGTAGGACCCTTTCAACTGAAATATTCTACTCTATTCTAAGTCCTGTATATCTTGCCATTGTGTCAAATCGAAATGACTGCTCTAAGAGGTTTTCTTTCTTCCCTTGACTCATTCAGAAAGGAAGTCATTTTGGTTTGAGATGTTTGTCTAGCGTCAAACTAGTGTGATTCATGCTACTCATTCCAAAATTGTGCACTTCCTACCAGTAAGAAATGTATCAAAGAGTTTGATCTGTAAGTGCTTAGGATGCTTTAACTACATGCTTTCCATCCTCCTAGTTCAAATTATTTACTCTTTTGGGGGGGATTGTATGTATGTATATACGTGTGTGTGTATGTCAGTGTGCGTTTATATTTTTAATTGTTCTGTAAATTACTAAGTCAAATTTCATAACAAGTCTGTAAACAGCAGCTTGCTTTCTTTGGATCTCATTGTAATCGTCAAGCCTAGGGGCTTCAGCCTTTTAACTTTTTTGTACTTTTATGGCAGAATGATTTTTTGGAAGAGCTGAAAACGGAGATCAGAATCTGGTTTTGCACACTAAGGAATGTAATGGTGCCCCATCAAGCACTACTCATGGTCAGCAATTTGTATCCTGGGTATACGCCTTGTCAGCATCCCAGAGAACAGGCAGCATGCAAGGGAACTGCAGCGCAGTAGGGCAGGTTTTGGTGCTCATGACTTGAACAGAGTTGGGGGCTGGGATGCAGGAAGTGAACATAGCTGAAGTTAAAACAGGAACTCAGAGCACACAGCAGTCCAAAAGCTGTCGCTAGCAACAGGTGCCCGAGCAAAGAGCAGCAAGTTTGCCTGCAGAAGCTGGTGAGGCTTTTAAGGTAAGAAAGCTGAGTGGGTTTTGAGAGCAGAAAGTGAGAAACGAAAACAAAGAAATGTAGGGTTTTGGTGGGCAAAGATAACTCCTTCGTGACCCAGCATGTGTCAGTTAATAGTGCTCGGCATATGGTTGGACTTGATGATCTGAGAGGTGTTTTACAACCTATGATTCTATGATTTGCTTCTCAGTCTGTTCTTTGATCATTGTTGTTGCTCTTGTGTGTGAGGCTCTGAAGAGCCATGTTCTCAAATCAACCAGCATGACTGCGAAGTGTGGTAGCCCTATATTTTTGCTGTAGTGGGTGCTTTCAAAGCCAAAAAATGGGACATACTAGAGGGTTGAGATGCTGCTCTGGCTGATATTCCTCATTACAGAGGGTGTCTGAAGCCTTGTGTGATTACAGTCTGTGGTTTGTCATGGTTCCCAGGATGCACGGTGGGTGGCTTTGGAGAGTAGGTGGTCAAAAACCATTTACAGCAGGATTTAAATTCTGAACTACCTGCATTTGAGCTAGCTGCTCAAATCAGCTGCCCTGTTGAACAGCCCTGTGCTAACTGGTTATTGCTGCTGTTTTATCATTAGCAAAAATGAACCACAACCTTTAAGAATCTTTGACGTGAGAGATGTTAATAAATTAGGGAGGGGAAAATGAGATGAAAGGTATTGTTAGATTGTGCTATGTTGTCTACATGAGCCTTCCTGCTTCTATTTGCAGTATTCTCTCCCTTAGCTAACCATCTGGCTTTTGTTTAACAAAAGAAAGACTAATCCCTGCTGTCCTCTTTTAGTTTCTGTTGTCCTTGCTCCCTGGTCTTCTAGTGCTGATTCTCTAGACAATTGGTAAGGGCAGCTTGAAACTGAACTGAACAGTGCACTGTACTGAACGGGAAGGTTATTCACTTAACAGTTTTTTGTGTTGTACAGTGAATTACTTGTTCAGCATAAACATTTTGCTTGAACAGAAAGCAACTGTCCTGGGCGCTTGGGGCCAGTTTATAGGCTACTGTATGGTTGTAGGATTGAGGGGTTAGTGTTAAAGGAGGATCCATCACAAAGCTGTTCTCTTCTCTCCTGTTGGCTTGTTCACAGGTTTATGTGCTGTTTGCAGTGATGTGAAACAGGGCTCAGCAGTCCAGTCTTTGCTGCACTTCCTGTTCAGCCTTTCTCTCTGCCTCAGTGAAAAGTTGCTTTGGGTGACAGCAAGAGCCATTTGGGGCTCCGCAGCATCACAGGCAGTAATAGGTGGTGGGATGTGAAAGCTCTGCTGAGAATGATTGCTCTGTTGTGTAGGGGCAGGCAAGCTATGTTGTCTTTCTTCTGTCCCTCATTTTCTAGAAACAGTGTTGTGTGGGAGGGGCTTTTTCATCATCTTTTTTCACGGTAACCTTGAAAATGAAATGCAGGAGTTTTCGATTTCATATTACTTGTATTTAACTTCCTCTTCCTGGACCTACCACTTCCTAAAGGCCTCTTCAAACAGCCTGGACCGCCAAAGATTCAGCCTTTTCAGCCCTGTTGCCCAGCCACAGCTTCAGCCTTTTCAGCCCTGCACACTTAATGATTTTAGGCCCATTTCTTTTTTTTACCATATGACAGTCATAAACACCACATGGTATACTGTACCAGCACTGTCAGACCAGCATACAGCTTTTTTCTGAACTTTCTCTAACACATTAGGCAGTGATTGAAAGGTTGGAAAACAGACAAGAGACTTGAGGAATCCAGCCTCAGGTAGATAAGCACTGTATCATATGGCAGAGCAAGCCACAGCCTCTGGCGGAGTGCCATGACTGTGCTTAACAGAATCTTAGAATCATAGAATCAGTTTGGGTGGGAGGGGCCGAATCATAGAATAGTTTGGGTTGGAAGGGACCTTCAGAGGTCATCTAGTCCATCCCCCCCCTGCTGTGAGCATGGACAGCTTCAACTAGATCAGGTTGCTCAGAGCCCTGTCCAACCTGACCTCGAATGTTTCCAGGGATGGGACATTTACCACCTCTCTGGGCAACCTGTTCCAGTGCTTCACCACCCCCATTGTAAAAAGTTTCTTCCTTATATCCAGTCTAAATCTCCCCTCTTTTAATTTAAAACCGTTGCCCCTTGTCCTATCGCAACAGGCTCAGCTAAAAAGTTTGTCCCCACCTTTCTTATAAGCCTCCTTTAAGTACTGAAAGGCCGCTGTAAGGTCTTCCCGGAGCCTTCTCTTCCCCAGGCTGACCAGCCCCAGCTCTCCCAGCAGAGGGATTCCCCCTCGCATCATTGCTGGGGCCTCCTCTGGACCCGCTCCCACAGCTTCAGGTCTGCCCTGTGCTGAGGGCTCCTCAGAAAGAAAATTAAAGCAGGGAACGGTCTCCCACAGCACAGAAAATTAATGTATGTTGCAAAAGAAGAATCTGGCAGTTGGATGCTAGCACTAGTTTATATTAAAATAAGGTGTGCATTTTAACTGTGAAGTCAGTGTGCATGAAGACTGTGTTTTGCACTTAAAATCCCTGTGTGTTTTGCTGAAAGTAGTGCTGGGTCTCAAGAGTAGCTATTTTGGGGTGCCTTGTGCTGTATGAAGGCCAGAGAGATCAGCAGGGCAGATGGCTTGCAAGGTTCCCTTCCAGCCCGAATTACGCCACGGCTGTGGGTGATAACTGTGTCCTCCTTGTGCAGATGTGGAAAGCAGTCGTGGGACATGACGTGTCAGTAAAGGTTGAGGCTCAGGGAGACGACTGGGACACTGACCCTGATTTCGTGGTGAGTGTTTGATGTGGTAATCCATAATATTGGTGGCGGTTGTGTGAAGGATTCACTGGCCCTAGCCGTATGCTCGTCAGCTGGGCTGGGGCTTGAGCTAAAAGGCACGGCATGCAGCGCTGCTGGCTGTGCAAGGTCAGCCAAGTCCCACCAACCCCTCAGAGGTACTGTCAGGTCATCTGTCTGAGCCATTTCTGACCCATATCTATGTTTAGTCTCCAGAACTTCCTACATCAATGCACCCCACATCTGACTACAAGTAATATCACTTAAGGAGTATAGAATATTTAGTTTGTTTTAAACCTCATCCCTGGTAACGTCCAGGAGTCCTCCCCACAACTTATGTTACAAGAAATAGCGAAGACTTAAATTTTCTCTTTCCCACACTGTTTGTAACTGTACAGGATTCCAGCATTGCCCTCATTTGTCTTTTTTCCAGATGGAAGAATCCTACTGCATTTATGGTCCCCTTGGGCAGATGCAGCTCCATGCCTTTAAATAGCCTTGTTTTCTGTCTAGTCCAATATTTTAAGTGAGATGGTGAGGGAATAGAAGGGGTCAGCCTATGGGAATCCCATGCATTCATACAGTGTCATAGTTTTCCTTTTCCATTTGATGTCTATTCCTTTCCTAATAAGTCATTCATGCTTTGGCTTTTTGGCCAATTCTGTATTTGCTACTCTAATCTACATAATTGCACATAATCCCTTATTTCGTACTCCTTCCTGAATGGTAAATATTTTGGAACCATCATTGTGCAGATATAATTAGAAAAAAATTTTTTTGCACATGCTTTACTTTTGTACTTATTAACACCAACCTTCATTTACAGTTTTATCACCCACTGATTTTGCATCACAAGTTTTTTCTGCAATGCTTTGTGTCCTGCATTTGGTTAACCTAAATAGTCCTTTACTGTCTCAAGACACTGACGTCTCATGCTTCATACCCTTTTTCTAAACCTCTTAGGAGGACATAGCACAGGAGGAGTTCTGCTCCTCCTGGTGCCAAGGAGCAGTGGCCACGCTTTACAGCCACAGGTCTCTCTGAGCTCTGTTGAGATTTTGGTTTCCTTTCCAAGATAGTTTTGTGAAGGACAATCTCTTCTGTTTACACAGGAGTCCTATGTTTTCAAGGTTCCGTCTTGCCCAGTTATTTCCAGTAAGAAATTGTAGTTGGGCACAGAAAAGCAAGTCCCCTCCTTGAAGTTCCAAATTTAATATTAATGTTTAAAAAAAATTCTATGCTGTCATTTTTTTTTTACTTCATTTCTTTTATTTGTGGAAGCATTTAAATCAAGCCTGCAGAGAGTAAGAACTTTGTATTAATTTTTAATTCTATTTTGTATATGTTTTTAGCTGTACCTTGTATTTGGGAAGAATTTACTGATGCTTCAATTTATCAAACACATGTTCAGACCTTCCAAAAAGACAAAACAAGTGCTGTCATAACGGAGTTGAGGCAAAACAGTGGACCTTGAGTGAAATGGTCACTTCAGCGTTCTTCCAGTATTTTCCTAAACCACTAACTTCCACAGCACTTTTGCTTGCCAGCTCCTCCCCGAGGAAGCGGGACGGAGCTTC